TTAACGTTACTATATTTTAACACTACCTGTACCCATACGGCTACATCCGCATGAAATAAAAACTTTTATTGTTTACATTTGTCAAATTCTTAATTGCAAATGTCAAAATACCAATTACCTTACTAAGGCAATCTTGCTTCTTGAAGTTGGCAGCTCGTATCGTATGGTCTCTTTCGCACATAAGGGTTTTTATCCAAAATATTTAATCTCAAAGTTTAATGGCGTGAAAATATATATCCTAAAGCGTGACGTAAGTGTAAGGCTTTTTATTAAAAAATAATTATTCAAAGATATGCTGTAATTGCTGACATCTTAGGCAACAAAGAAGTGTGTGTTTACGCTTTATTATAATAGTATATATACGTAAAGTAAATCGTACTATAATTATAAATCCTGAGGTTTAGATAAATGGATATTTTTTCTAGATATCTCCAGAATATCATAGGATCTCCATAAAATTTTACACAAGCATTGTGAAAGATGGACAATTACTATAAATTCCACAGGGTCGTATTCGGGGGCAAAATCTAGTAAAATAACACAAGTGGGTAGACAAGTAACTGGACTCTAGACTCTAGTCCAGAAAACTATTCCTATTCTCTTGATTTCCTGGGTTATTTACACTTTTCAAGTATAGACATATGAAATCCCACACTTAGTACGTAATGTATGTGAACCAGAAACCAGAAGTGACTACAATGCGCCATTATCCTTAATAGATATTAAATGGATAATGGTTCCTTGCAATCGTGTGACAACTGAATGTCCAATGCATATGTAAGGATACAAGGTCAAGTGGATAATTACATTGCCTTCGTGTATAATCACAAATAAACTCAATCTAGCAAAGGGCAAAGACAAAACAGTCGTAATTTTTTACTTTACTACGACATTAGGTGAACCTTAACGAAACATATCTACATATGCAGTATTGTTTGCTTATTTTTATGAAGTATGATAGCGGTGATGTTTTTTTTTAGTTTAGAATAAATGCTTATGATCACTTTGATTAAATCAACGCAAACACACTCCAAACAATTAATGCTAATAAATATCAGCAGGCGTTTAGAATATCATCATTCCAACAAAAATATTTTCTTAGCATGTAATTACGCATAGTGAGTGTGTTGGGGGTATATACGCATTGTTACCGTAGTGATTCAAACCTATTACTAAGGGAGGTAGAATGACTTTCATTGGACTTTAATTTAGTACAACTAGACTAAATTAGATAACTAAAATACTTTAAAACCGGGTCGTGTCTAACAAAATTCCAAGTCAGTTGTACAGTACAGACTGGCGGCGCTGCTGAATATTCATAGACCTCGCGATTTCGTTAAACCAAGAACAGTTTAAATACTACTGAGCAAGTACTAGGGCTGTCTTAACCATATTGGGTTCGAGTGTGAGAATCTAGCTAGGGCCTGTTTTAGTACTACCAGTGCCCTGGGCGAGATTTCTAAATGAAATAAAAACCCAAAGGTAGAAAGGCGCCCGTCGCGTCACCGCACTTCGCCAAACTTAGACTTAAAAATCACTTGTTCCTTTATTTTAAGACGGCTCTGGCATAAATTAAACAATTAATAATTAACAGGTACAGGGGTGGACTGATGTGAGAATTATTTCTTATTAAACGAGACTTTTAATTTAAAGATAAAGAATATTTATAATTAAAATGAAGCAACTATGTATTTGGTAATTATCTCGCTTACAAAGCGTTGCCTAACAAATGACTTCTTCAGTATCGTCGTGACCTTTATACGTCCTTGAGATTTGACCTTTACGTAGGGTTGCCATTTTATGCAATTATCCTTTATAGGTAGCTTTAGCCTGCGACACCGGCCGCGTGGAATTAAAAAAAAAGTAGTATATAGTAGCCTATATGTTCTAGACTATCCTCTACCCCTATACCAAATGTCATCGAAATCCTTCAGCCGTTTTGGTTACAAACTCTAACAAACATGCATCCATCCATCTAAACTTTCGCATTTATAATGTTAATATGAAGTATAAGTTTTAAAAAACATACTATATCTTCAATGAGTGCCACAAAACGTAATAAAAAAACATCGAAGAAAATGACTTACCAACAGCAATTAATCTATATTGCACACTACATATTCTTATCAATTGCAATCACGCTATACTGTATTATAAAACAATTTACTTTCACCCTTTTGCTTAGACTTGTAGACAATAGTTTCTACAAAGGTCACAGATAAACTGAGAAGAAAATTCTAACTAAGAAAATGGATCAATATTTGGCAGGATCTTCAAGACTGGAATTTACTTTCAGGATTTTGGCACCATTCCAATCAAATTTAGGCAAACGAAAAAACAGTATAGACAATTTTCTTGTTGCCGACAACCATAAACTTAGGAATTCAGAGATTCATTTGTAATTTTTTTTATGTTACTAGAAATGTCTATCATCATCTTCTGCCTTATCCTACTCCCGTAGGGTCGGCTAACTCTATCATCCGTCATCCCAGTCATCACTAATCTTGATCATGTCACCTTTCATGCAAACCATCTATCTCTTTTTAGGTCTACCTCTACCGGTGTACCTCCACATTCGTAACTAACGTCTTGTTACATGCGATTCATCCCTTCTCATAACATGCCCAAGAAGAGAGAAGAGTCTATCCCGGCTTCATATAATAAAGGGTTAACATATGTTTAATGTAAAATGTGTGTTTCTGTATTAAATAAGTTATTGATTATTGTTTATTTCATATTAATTTAGCGGGTATAATAAAATAAGTTTTGTGCAATGTGTTTCATTACATGACAACAGAGGCATTTACTACAAAATACATTTAAAACACTGACTATGTTCTTCGTGGATTTATACTAATATTATAAATGCAAAAGATTAGATGGATGGATGTTTTTTAGAGTTTGTAGCCTAAACGGCTGAATGGATTTCGATGAAATTAGGTATAGATGTAGAGGATAGACTGGAAGAAAGCATAAGCTACTCACTTTTGTTTTTTTTTATTCGACGCAGATGGAGTCGCAGGCAAAAGCTAGTGTTTTATGATTGTTAGATATCTGATATTAACCATAAATTCCCTTTTTTTAATATATTTGTTTAGAAATAATTTTATAGGAGTAAATAAGATTTCTCAATTGCAGTCCTTTCAACCATCAAGATAAGAACAATGACAGACGTCATCACTGATTGATTTGTTTGATAATATTACATTGTCAGGGATGTCAGTTATCAGGTATTTTTAACATGAACATTTTGTAAAGCAATTTTTTTAAATCTAACAAACACCAATATAATTGGCAATTATTTTTTAAATACCCCTGAGCAGTAATAAAATGTTAATTCTATTAACATTTATTATAAAAATCCACCATTCCTATGGCCCTAAAATTCAGAACTTTATTCTCACTAATATTATAAATGCGAAAGTTAAGATTGATGGATGTTAGAGTTTCTAGTCTAAACTGCTAAAAGGATCTCAATGAAGATTGACATAGATGTAGACTTCTGGCAGAACAGACAGACTAATTATTTTTCTTTTTAATTCCATGCAGATGGAGTTGCTAGTATACAATTAAAAAAAAAATCTGGAGTATCTATGCCACTTAATGAGAAAATATGAACTATTGCAGCTTATTGTAGGAAATATTAAAGGTAACAAATTTGTAGTGAAAGAAAATCCTGGCTTAAAAGCTATACCATTGGTTCAGAAAGAGCTGTCATTTGCTTGTGCAAGTTGCCCTTATAACATTAAAGTTCAAAAGATGGATCTCTTAGAAAAAGAGGATACAAAGATATTTTTGAAAAGTAATTTCTTGTAAGGTAGATTAAAAAAAGTGGTAATTTGGAAATTAAAAGTTGTAAGACGATATGACTAGTTGTAGCTTTCTTTTTATAAATACTAGACTGATTGTATCTATGCAATATTGGATACAATATTTATGCAACATGTTTTTTTATATTTATAAAAATAGAATTAGGAATTTCATACTTTTGGGTACTAGTACTTTAGATTTATAAATACAAGCAATAAGTAACTTGTATAATATAATACACGACCTTTTTCTTCCTCAATCCCACCACTTTATTGTTTTTTCAACTTTACAGTTTTAAAATTGTTTGATTAAACATAATATTTAGGAATCTGTAGTCAGTAGAATTAAATAGTAATTAAGTGGAGATGTATAATTAAGGATAAATCATTGCATTTATTCGAAAAATATTGTTTTCTTTAAATTCAAGGTGATAAGAATAAGATGTACCCACTAAAACTGTCACTTTGTAAGATCTTATTTCAATGCGTAATTTATTCTTACCTGTTTATAGAAGCTCCAAATTTTTCTAAAACGTTGTAATCCAATAATATGTAACAGAAACAACTATAACTAATCACGGATAAAGCTTGGACATAATTTTCTTATCGTTATAGAATTCAACACAATCGGAGAGAACAACAAGAGAAAACATACCACATAACAACATAAATGAAACGGAAGATACAATACTAAAGCAAAGAAGCGAGAAAAATGCTATGTAATAAAACCATAGACAAAATCAGCTGTTGACGTATGGAAACAATCACGGATTTTTGTAAAGTAATTTAAATAAGTTTAATAAACATGAATAAATAATGAGATTTGATTTAAATTCTAAACTGTTCTATTAAGATTCCATGTGTGTTATTGATGTAAATTATTAAATTAGGCTGAATTTATTTTTCGCGCGCAAAATTCGAAGTACCCTACGGCAATGACTTTCATTTATACCTCTTCCTTCCTAAACAACTAATTTCAAAGTAAAGGAAATAAAACAAAATAGCTTCTATTAAAAATCAGTCAGATTTTCATTTTCAGTTTCTTAAAATCGAAGATGCGGTTTTTCTATTTATTCAGACATAGACAATATAAAACTTACGTCTTTCTGTTGTATCTCTTACACAAAAGATGGTGCTTTTGCTAATGAAACATTACTTTGACATTTATTCATTTATTCCCCTCCCTCCCAATGAAACAAAAAATCTACAGAACTCGTAACTGCTATTTATCCTTTTTATCTGATTAATCTAATAACGTTGTGGTGTAGCCTTCACTATTTGTTTTTATTTAAAGAAAAATTGGATTAGATCCAAGAAACGTGTTTAAAACTATTGTTTCTCGATCACTGTAAAACTTTACATTTTAAAACCGATTACTTTCTGAATGTTCTTTCAGTATGACTTCTGTCATCATGCAGTCTAAATAACCTTTCGTCATTGTGAATTGATTTGGCTGATCGCTACTTGGTTAGTTACCCGAAAATATAACTGCGGATATTATTAATATGGCGAAGGAAGAAGACGATGACAATTTGCCAGATAAAGATGCTGCGAAAGAATTTTATGCGAAATACGAACCGAAGGAAATCATAGGAAGGTATGTTGAATAATATTTTTAACTGAACTAATCGTAATTGATTTTATTGTGTCCAATTAACACCCTTATTTGTAAAATACCACGATGAATTTAGAGATATTCTTTTGAAAAAATGTTTTTTTGTCCGAAGTTGACATTGTCAACTAAGACATCGATTATTTCTTTTCTGTAATGATTTTGGTTTTTAATATTTCTTATTCATTAGTATTTTACGCTGTACTTATAAATAGATGTTAACATATTCAAATCTCCAAATTCAGAAATTATATAGGTTACTTATTACAGAGGTATAAGTTCCACTGTGAGAAGATGCATAGAAAAGGAAACTGGCCATGAGTTTGCTGCTAAGATAATAGATCTCAGTCAGGAGTCACAAGATGGTGTTGACACTCACATAATGAGAGATGCTACTCGACAAGAGATTCAAATCCTTAGAATGGTCGCTGGACATCCATACATTAGTGAGTGAGTTGTTTATCGATTTTAGGAACATTGTATGTTTAGATTATTTGTGATGTATTATAATTGTTTTGGTTTTTAATTACTCCCAAACAGGGTTGGCATCTGTCTGTAATTATAAAACATATTGGGGTTTATAAAATGTTATGTGCCGACCCTGCAAGTGAGATAAGGCCATGCAGATGATGATTACAAGCAATATTGTATTCTGCTAGGAGTTTATGTTTTAAGAACTAAATTTTTATGTAATTTTTAAGTTTTTCATGTACCATAATCAATATAAAATTTATACATTGAAGAAAACTCAAGAAATTGTTACAAAAATCAAGTATAATTTAGTACGGACCAAAAATGAATGAGGAAAAATAACAAGAATGGACATAGAATATTTAGTAAGCAAACACATGTACTTGGTTTACGAAAACAAGATACATAGTGTAATAACTAGGTTATGCAAACTATTGGACATAAATAGAGGAGTATAGACCTTGGCCTATTTGATATTGAGACCATTTTTGTTATTAATACTTGAATAATACAATGTAACTCACATCCATAACCCAGAGGGGTAGACAGAGACCATGAACCAGATAGGACGGTCCTGATTCACCCATCTCATTCATACAACGGCTTAGGTTAGATCTAGAGGGACAGTAGTCATTTTTAAATCCCATAATAGTTGGTTATTGATATATGGTTCAATGTTAGAAAACTAACAACTTCATTTTGTTTTATCTACAGGGATTATAGGCGTTTCAAAGAAGTTTATCTTTTTTTTTTTCGATTTATGAGATGGAGGTTGGTTCCTCTTGTCAATGTCCAGGTTTTTAAGTTAATCTATTGAAGTTGTTTATATTGTTTACAGTTGAATTACAAGATGTGTTTGAATCTGAGACGTTCATCTTCCTTGTCTTCGAGCTATGCAAGAACGGAGAGCTGTTTGATTATCTGACGTCTGTGGTGACACTCTCAGAGAAGAAGACTAGATATATCATGAGGTAATTGCAACTACACTTTATTTCATACTAGCTTTAGCCCGCGACTCCGCCCGCGTTGAATTAAAAAAAAACAAACTGGGTAACCTATATGTTCCTTCAGACTATCCTCTATATCTATGCCAAATTTCATCGAAATCCATTCAGCTGTTTAGGCTACAAACTCTAACAAACATCTTTCCCGCATTAGGGGTTTTATTCAAAATATTCACCCCCTAAGTTTAATGGCGTTAAAATATATAGTCTAAAGCGTGACGCAAATGTAGGGCTTTTTATTAAAAAAATAAATATGCTGTAATTGCTGACATCTTAGGGAACAAAGAAGTGTGTGTTTACTCTTTATTATAATATAGATATAATATAGATAGATTATAATGTGTAAAAATAAATTGGCTTACCTTTTTTATTTAAGTGTACTCGCTGATTAGGAATTCTGATATGGTTTACATCATTAGTTTAATGGAGAATCAAATTTTACACATACTTTGTAGATGTTTTCACAGTATGTTATATAATATGGTATTTTTTAATGATATAAATTGTGTGCATTATGAATGTGATAAAATGCCATAGCAGAAAACATTTATGCATTTGCGTCGTAGGATTGTAGAATACATCAATTACAGTAAATTATTAAATTATTTATTATTTTGAAATTAATGTTATGATGGCATAATAAACTTAAGTATTCCATCTTTGTTGCAATGTAATTTTTTTTATAAAATAATATAAAGGCGTAGTGAAGCCATTTTTTATTTGTTAGGGTTCAAATGATATAAATGTCATTAAAATTAATTATTTAATATCTTTTTTTTGAAGAAAACTTTACTTGAAATCTGAATAATCTGTGATTTTGTTTTCACTAGTGATGGTAACTACTAAAATTGATGATCTGCAGATCACCTCACGAGTGCTCACACTTACATGCATCTAATTTTAATTTAATTTATATAAATACTGAATACTTAATATTATTTTCTCGTAATAAGTCCAATCTTACTAATATTATAAATGCGAAAGTTTAGTTGGATAGATATTTGTTAGAGTATGTAGCTTAAACGGCTAAACGTATTACAATGAGATTTGGTATAGATGTAGAGGATAGTCTGGGAGAACACATATGCTACTCACTTTTATTGTTTTATAAATCCTCGCGGATGTAGTCGTGGGCGAAAGCTAGTAGTAGCTAGCATAAATTTAAATGATAGTCTGGGAGTTCTCCCAGAGTTCTCCCAAAAAAATCAAAAGTAAGTAGCTTATGTGTTCACATAGGCTACTTACTTTTGTTTTTTTTTTATAAATTCTGGTCGCGGCCGAAATCTAGTAGTAAATAAGCTGCATTTTTAATAATTTGTTTATAATCCGGGTATAGATGTTATCATATACTTGAAGTACAAAAATTATTAACGTATTTATTTTGTAAACTGTTAATATTTATTATCTTGATTAAATAATTATAAACTCAAAACTAAACTAAACTGAATGTGTTGAGTCATGAATTTTATCTAATGTTTCCTTGTCCGCTAAATGATAACAATTGATAAGCTTTCTGACGTCAAATCTCTGTCCCGTGTTAAGGTCAATTATTACGTTATTCAACACAGAATGAAAACTATTTGTAAGTTTACAAGATTCTAAAAAGACTATTTCCACTGGGATAAGTCTTACAGGGTTAGAGCCCGCTTTAACATCTTTGCAAAAATGGGTTTGCTCGCCCGGTGCAACTACGATCACATAGAAGACAGGCGTGAAGAAGGAGCAATTCCGCGTTTTGAAGAGTATGGTGTCAACCCAACTTTAGTCCCTCTTCCCGCCCTTTTTCTTTTAAGAAAAAGGATGAGAAGGGAGCGTGGGAACGCATAGGAAGGGAAAATATCCTCTTTATGTGCGTTTCCTCCTCCGTCGATTTAGAGTAGGCAACGCATCCGCTATTGCGAATGTCAATGCAGTGGTCACTTTGCCATTTATGCGGATTCAATTGACCGCTCGCTCGTTTGCCACCTTATGATATAAAAAAGTCTGCATTACAAATGATAGCCCAACTAGCCAAAGTAGGTATAGTGAAAAAGGGCCGTAAAAATAGCTTAATTTTGGTATTTGAAGCATTTTGTCTCCCCTGAGTTGAGAATGACTAGTAAAAACGTGTGAATAACATTTGAGCAGTAAATCAGTAAAAAATCATTTTTATTCTCAATTTAATAATCATTATTTTTAAGTAAAACTTAATATTATTCACCATTGGGAATCCCCGTATCGTCTTTCCTTGCCTGTTGCAGTTTTCATACAAACCTGTCAACTAGTTCTATGTTACACTGAATGACATCGCTATACTTTTAGGATCATATGTCTATTGTTCTATGATATATATCGATTACTTATCGCGAAACGTGATTTTATATAAAAAAATATTAGACACACAATATTGATTTATCTAGTCTGTTAAGATAAGAAAAGTCAAGGGCGCGTTTCCAAGAAAAACAAGTTGGTACAAAGAACAAGTATAGTTCCTATACGGTATCGATTTTATGAGTAACAAAAAAGATTAAAAAAAACAAAAGCAAGTACCCTAAGCGTGTTTTCCAGATTAGGAATACATCTATGCCTAATTTCATCGAGATTCATTCAGCAGTTTAAGCCACAAACTCTAACATACACCGATATTTTTGCATTTATATTAGTAAAATGTTTTTAAATCCTCTGTACTAAAACTCTGTTATTTCTAATCATCAGTAACTTAATTAAAATTGAAGCCCTGCAGATCAGTTTAATGTTCATATGCATAAAGCAAATCAGTTTATCGGCCCACAAGTTAGCTCGTTTTGGTTGTTTAACTTGTTACCGACAGCGCGGCAGCCAAAAATACAAAATACTTATTATAAAACAAACATATCTTTATTAACTTATTTACACAAAAAATATACAAAACTTAAAACTCTAAACTATGTCGATCACATCTTGACTTCTTCTTTTATATATTTTCTTTTACAAACAATTATTGCCTTGGTGGCCAGTATGCAACCTCTTTGGCTGTATTCATACTGCTTGTCAGCCAAAGAGGTTGTATTTTGCACTCAACAAGATCAACAATTCAAATCTATGACGTGAACCTTGAACCGGCTCAGGGCAGTTTGACACACGTCTATTTTTAATTTTAAACAACAATTCTTTCTCTTTGAGTACTGATAAAGTAGTTTCTAAGCATAATTAGGTCATTGTCTATGTACAGAATTGTGTTAATGTCGCTAATTAAAAGGTAACTATTTTAACCTTTAAGTTTTCTAACATGACATAAGAAGATGAGCGTAAGCCCACGATTTCGTCTCCGCGTTTGTAAAAATGTATAGATAGCCAATGTGTTTTTATTTATCCAATTTGATTAGTTAAGTCAATTTGGAGATAGATTATAAAAACATCCATCCATACAAAGATTCGCATTTATATTAGTTTGATTGGAGAGCTTGTTAGATAAATATATAGGACTTTTTATATAGATGTTATGACTAGTGTTAGTTAGTGTACAAGAAAAAAATTTTAGGTTTCACCCATTTGTATAGGGCACCCATAATTAATTTTATTAATGGACAAGTGATATTTGCACTGAAGAACATAGGCTTTTTTTTTAATTAAAAATGCGTTTTATTTTTGATAATAGACTTTGGATTGTTTGTAGACTGTCCTAGAGCATTCATTGACCCTCCAATCTAACTGTGCGTAATAATGAAGATAACTTCATTTAAGTTTAGTGCTTACTTACGTCAGAGCACGTAGACGTGTGTGTATAAGATTGTATTTGGCGGTTATTTCTTCGCACTGCTGCTTTAGTCTTTCTTTAACTTCTGGTCTGTTATGAGCTCCTGGTAGTTAAATTAAATGAAAAATTTAAATATAAAAGTGGGTTATTTTTAATTATGGAAATGAGTGTCTGTGAAAAACATGTCAGAGCGATTGTGAACAAATTTGGGTAACTATTTTAAATATTGTTTTGTATGTATAATACACAGTTTTAATTTTTTTATAAAAATAAGTACATAATTTAAAATTATATACTAAATGTGTGGATAAATCTGATTTTGTTTAAAATATTTCTTGAAACAAAGTGTAAATAAAAAACAAAACATTATTTTAGTATAAGTTAAATTATTGCCTGATCTGTCTTGTATTTCTAAACCCTCTTCTCGCCATCATACTCTCCTTGGAGATCTCTCGTAGACCAGTTAGGGTCTAAACCTTCATAATTTATCATGCCCTAGTACATACTTATATAGAGTTTGATTATTTTACAGGCAGGTGTTGGAAGGTGTTCGTCATGTGCACAGCAAGAACATAGTGCATCGGGATCTCAAGCCGGAAAATATTCTATTGGATGACCAGCTTAATGTCAAAATTACAGACTTTGGTTTTGCTAAGGTGCTCAACGATGGAGAGAAATTATTCGGTGAGATTTTGACATTACAATACAAATTTGTATTTTATCTATCTCTTTTTTTAATTGCTATGTAATGAGGATAAATTCCTTAGATCTGAATTCGCTTGTTTTAATAACAATGGTGAAGGACATGTAATTGCAAGGAAGCATGCTTCGCTGCTTGCCGCACGATACAGCTCGTGTTACTTCCAGTTTGTAGACGATAACCTACATTTCATGTCTCCCTGGTACTTATTTGCAAATCCAGGAATCTCTAAGGGGGCCCAAAGCACCTTTAATTTGTCTCGTCCTCTTCCGATTTCCATTTTTGTTGGAAAGGATGTAGTAGGGAAGTGATTTTAATAAGTGATCGAAGGGAAGGGGAAATAATTGTTCGCGAGCGCCTGCCATATTTTTCACAGCAACGGCTTAATTTCGCATTACCGTCTCGGAACATGATTTTTATTAATTACCATTCAAAATCTGTAACTGACGGAGTAAACGCATCCCTCTTGGCACAAAATCTGTTTTATTTAATTTCTCCGAATTATCGACCAAATATTTACAATAATTTTCATACATTTTCTACAAAAGTAGACAGACAATTTATGTTCTGCAGATTTTGCAGGTGTCCATAAATAATGGTTATATCCCGATATTTCTAAATCGCTGTTTTTTTCTAGCTTTTAGTACAAAAATAATAATAATTTATTCCAGAACTGTGCGGTACCCCTGGCTACCTGGCTCCGGAAACGTTAAAGGCCAATATGTTTGAGGACGCGCCAGGTTACGGGAAAGAAGTCGATATGTGAGTATTACTAGAACCTAATCATATCCTACTTCATACTAATATTATAAATGCGAAAGTTTAGATGGATGGATGGATGGATGTTTGGTAGAGTTTGTAGCCTATACGGTTGAAGGGATTTCGATGAAATTTGGCATATATGCAGAGGATAGTCTGAAAGAACACATAGGCTACTCACTTTTCTTTTTTTTTCACATTACTAGCTTGGCTTTAGCTTGGCTTGGCTTAGCGACTCCGTCCGCGAGCGCAAGCTAGTAATTCTATAAATATCATTCTATAAACTACAAATGTATTAAGATCTCTGTTTATATTATTCCGATTTTTATTACAGCTGGGCGTGTGGCGTCATCATGTTTACTTTGTAAGTTTAAATTTTTACTTCTATACTAATATTATAAAGAGGAAAGATTTGAATTTTTGTATGTATTGGAATATCTCAAAAACTACTCGTGGCGATTTCAGAAATTCTGTCACTATTAGCCTATCTAATTTATCAGTGAAAACATAGGCTGTTATTCTTTTCTAATTTTAAATTTCACACGGACAATGTCGCGAGCAACAGCTAGTCATTTATAAATAAGGTGTTTTTTATTATTTCAACAAGTTACTGTATAATTAATTTGTAAAAATAATGTATTTATTTCAGATTGGTAGGTTGCCCTCCATTTTGGCATAGAAAGCAAATGGTTATGCTGAGAAATATTATGGAGGGACGATATTCTTTCACCAGTCCTGAATGGGCGGATATATCAGGTGAGTTATTTTACATTTAAAATACAGCTTAGTCCAGTCTTTATATTAATGTTTCTCAATGTTTTGCCCTTTTATTTAATCTTATTTCGTTTTAACTTTACAGAGGACCCAAAAGATCTAATTAGAAGGCTCCTGGTAGTGGAACCGAGCGAACGTATCGACGTCCATGAATCTTTGATGCATCCATTCTTTAATACAGTGGTGAGTGCTCCTGGTATTTATAGTCTCCTAGTAACAATAACAAAGATTTTGTTTAACAAAAACATAATTATTTAAGAATACTACGAAATGCAGGAGTATTGAATAAGTAAATAAACAAGAGATACAATAAAATTGATTAAAACATAGTATTTTAACTGACAATGTAAATTCTTCGCATGCATCCATTTTATATTATCTTCATAGCATCACCAAATATTTTATTGTTTACGGTAGTTTTACGACGCTTTGCTTAAAAAACTGTATTTTGATATTTAAGTTTTTAATGCTTTTACAATTTGAGACATGCACAGTCCGTGTATGGAGCACCGCAAAGCTTATTGTGACTTATTTCTCTTTAGTTTATGTTATCCCAATCGGTGTTGTTATTTAATGTCAATTAAATTTGATTTTCTAAATAATTCTAATAAATCGACGTACTTTCTGGGGTAGTGTAAATTTTACGCACTTTTTTAAATACACAAATGAACCAATGGAATGAATTCTTATTAAGATGCATTTTTCTTTGATAAGGCATGTCTTCCGTCGGTTCTTTTTAATTCTTTTGCTGGAATGTTAATATAAAACTCCTACAATGTGCTTCGCTCCTGGTAGTTGTGGGACCAGGACATGACGCCGCTCAAGAAATCGCTGTCCGGAACCAGCCGAAGGATGTCCAGGATTGAGCAATTGTCTATGGTAATGCCTACAGGCACCAGATAACCGTTTTAAATAAACCTAACACTTTAACAAGAAAATTACACACACTTTCACACAAGTTGCACGTCATACAAAACCTTTATTATTAAGTATTCCTACTAAAACTTACTTTCATAGAAATTGGGTAAATAATTGCAATACTTAACTATGTTGTTGACATATTTTCCTTATCCAATTTAACATTCGGTAAACTTAAGACAAAATAACACGAACACTCAATTCATATTCAGCGGGCTGGCAGAAATAGTTACACGAAGAATGAAGACTGACATTTTACACGACACACGCTTTATTTTGTTGACTACTTTATATTCATGTCCACCTTGTAGCTTGTTTGTAGTTGCATGATGCATGAAAAAACACATTCACTAGCTTCCGTTGTAGAACACTAGTATAAAAAATATTGTCATCTCTTTCATTCACTTTGACGAAATTGAGATACTAATATGATTTATACAAGTGTTTCGACAGTGGAAACTAACAGTTACGTCTAAATCTTACAATTTGCTGATGTTATTTAATGTATGTAGGCAATAAAGTCGGGAGGTTTCAATGCGCGTGCTAAGATACGGCTTGCGTTCGTTGTGGTGCGCGCTGCCGTACGTTTGCGTCGTCTGCCCCATACATCCGCACGCGCTGTAGCCCTGGTCGATGCTCTCCGTGATCCATACACCATGCGAGCGTTGAGGAAGGTGAGGAAATCCTGCATGGCCTAGTATTCCTAGGTCATAAATGGAACAATCAAAAAACAGTAGAAATTACTTTTCTTACGTGTAAATTAATTTTAGGTTATCGATGGTTGCGCATTCCGAGTGTACGGCCACTGGGTGAAGAAGGGCGAGGGCCAGAACCGAGCGGCGCTGTTCGAGAACATGCCCAAGACGGAGCTGAAGAGCCTGTACGTCAGCAACCTGAGCCGATAACCGTCGCGCTGCTGCTTCTGGATGCACTTCCTTTATACTCTGTTCTCCTGATCCTTTGGTTAGTTTATTAATTTGAACCTAAGATTTTTTTAAGCTTGAATGACATTTTTGTTTAAAGTTTTGTTTAATTGTGATTTATTTATTTTATTTTTTTCATCAATAATTAAGTTTACAAATTAAATTACAGAAATTTCAAGAAACAGCCAATGGAATATGAAAAGTATTCAAAGGTCAACAACATTTCTAAGAAATGTTTTATAACTTGTAGTTGAGAAATCAAGTTATTGTGTGTGTGTTAGAATATTTGAAATCACTCTAACAAATTTGTAGTATATGCATACACATCCTGTATCTACACTTTCATCTTGCTTACAGATATATGCACAGTTTAGTTATAATAATTTATTTAAAGTAACTATAATCCTTGTTTTTTATAAATAAGGAGCGGATTTCCATTTTTATTATTTTTTTTATATATTAAGTTTATATGATGTCCTTTTACAGGAGTGAACGTGTACCAGGGTAGCATCGCCACTGAAGAAGTCTAGCTGCAGCGCGCTGCTCACGTCCTTGAAGTGTGATGTAGGTTAGTGTAGAAACGTCGACACCTCTAGTACCCTAGTAATTTAATTACCATTTATATACAAAAGTACGTATTTACTGTATGTACATCGCCGTTGCAGTGGCGTTACGTTGATAAAACGTAAACTAGTCGACAATATTGCCATCCCTCTCATTCTCTATGGAAACGACAGAGATAGCAATAATCGTCACGTTTGACTTGATGTCGGTACAAATCTGATGGCAATAAGACGTAAGAAATAGTTAAATTCGTTTGATCAAATAAATGTTGATTGTAGTTAAGTTGTTACTTGTTTTCTCAATATTTAAGTTACACATTTAGTTAATGTAGCATTAAAGACGGTTTTGTTTGCTCTAGTAATTCGGTAATTTAAATTTGTTCCTTGATCTGAGCGATATAGAGATTATTTTTGTAAAAAATTAAATATTCAAAACCGCCTTTAAATGTTAGATACATAATCCTAGTTTCAATTAAAAAAATGTACTCGATATACTAGAATTTATACATTTTTGTATGGAGTTTGTAATCAGATAGTTGGAATTTAAAATATTGTAAAACCAGACTAAACGACAGCCAATTTTGTACTAACTAAGCATAGGTGCAAGATTATTAGACCTAGATAATATTTATACCTAACTTTGACCCTTAGTAAGTTTTTGACAAACATGTGTGAATATTTTAATTATTATAATATTTTGCCGAAAGAAAGACAAGCTTCAAATATCAAAATGTTAATATTTCGGCAATAAACTCCTGATTTTATTATCCAAAATTTAGTATAATTAAAAAAAAAAACAAATTGTATAAACAACCCATTTATTTTATATACCAAAAACTGTTTTATTATGTCATATACAATAAAATATTAAAATAATATCCGCTTCCTACGTAAATAGTCGTAACCAACAATTTTGCCATTTACATGTATTAAAAAAAACTGTTGATATACGGGAACTATATTTGTAATCCTATGCATAGATCATTTAAAAATATGTAACTGTTCGGTCAGTTTTAACTGAACTGTAGAATTGTTCGGTTAAATATCTAATCAAAATATCTGAATTTCAAATGACAGTTAAAATTTACAACACGTAATTTATCTGAATATTTTATCTATTCTTGAGTGAAAACTGAATTAAAATTGAGAATAAAACAGTAAATATGTGGGTTTAATTCTCATATTTATGTTATTTTGTTTGTGTCTAAGTTAAAAAATAAGTAAAAAGTAAAGCAATACCGTGATATATATTTTGTGTATAATTAGATTAGATTCAGTATTAAATATAGTATACTGACATTTATATCGTTTGTAGTAAAATTAATATGAAAATAACTAATTTTATTCATGTTTGCTGCCTACCCTAAAAAGGTGCATTTCACGATAAATTAAAAACTACTGAAAATCGCCTATAAATGTTAAAACAACAGATGTTATGTAAAACTATATATTTTTGACCGACTTCCCAAAAGAAGGAGGTACTCAATTCGTCTGTATGTTTTTTTGGTATGTCTCAATAATATAATAATATTTGTGTAGTGAAATTCCCCTAAATTATCATTTTTTTTGCATTAAATTCTGGTGCAAATTGTTTTACCTTGAAATATAATCTCTAACTTCCCAAATGTTGTTTTTGTTTTTCCTTTCATTTATAAATAACCTTATTTAATAATAGACGGACAAACAAGCGGTTTGTCATTAAGTGACCATTACCCTACAAAAAATGACTGATATATATGTGGTATACATTACTAAATAAAAAAGTAAACAGAAAGGACGTGTGGATTTTAAAAGGTTCTTTGAAATCAATAAAATAAGTAGAAACATTTGAGTTTTAATTCTTAAATTGTAGGATCTCCCCCATCACTACACAAATTCACGAGAAATTGTTAACTTAAAAAAAGTAGGCAATAAACAGTTAGGTTTAGATACATAATTTTATCTAATATTTCCTGACTAGCAAATAGGAATAATTATCATTATCAAAACAATATTTCTTATTCAATATTTAAATGTTAATGTATTGTTGAGATCCCAATTCTTGCTAAATTTAAGGTGAAATTGTAAAGTCAAGTTGTTATTCGGCGCGCAAAGCAACCGGTGAAGTGAAAGTCGGCTGTGGCGTCGCACGTGCTCGCGCCCGCACAAAAGTAGGCGAGCGATGTCGCCGACCGCCGAGCGGCGTGCGAGCGGGACGGACATATAGCTGGATAAACAACGATAGCTCGTGTAGAGATGTGCGCGAAATCATAGACTGGACACGACACATTGAGTTGTGAGTGAGCACAGCTTATCAGTTCTTTTATGGTTGAAAAATAAAATTTATACAATTAAAGAGATAGAAGAATTTGTTTTTAATATGAAAATGCAAATGAATATATATTTTTCTACCTGTCCCAATCGAAATACAAAGATTTTAATACAAAGATTCGTATCAATTCACAGTATTTATATTGAGCTGATTTTTTTAAATTCAATTATAAGTTTTATTCGTATATAGGACCTCGATTCGTTCCATTAATATAAATAAACAGTACAATGAAGTAATCATTGTGCCTTGATGAAAGTGAGCTGTGAGTTAATCAGCTGATCGAGCAAACAAGGTGCAGGCCTAGCGGCGTGCATAGGGTCGCTGCAGCGGCATCGATCGCGGCGGGGCTGTGCGCGGTTGGCGCGCGGCGGCGGTCACGTGACGAGAGCGCCGCGCTGCGATTGGGCGAGCGGGCCGGCGGCCACGTGAGCGGCGCGCGGCGCGCGTGGCCAGTCGCGGCGTGACAGCGGGCGCGCTCGTACCGCGCGCGGCCGTGCCGTAGCAGACATGAGCCGCCTCGACACGCTGCTCGAGGCGGCGCGCTTCATCGAGCTGCAGGAGCGCCGCCTCCAGGCCGGTAAGTCCACCACGCCGCCGGAGGCCCGCCCGCGCCCGTCGCCGCGCCGCAGCACTCGCCTCGCGCCCGCCGCTCTTGACCTTGAACGCCACGCACTCGCTGCCCGCCCCGCCCCACGTAAACAAAGGAAGCCCGATATTCGCCGATCGCTGCAAGTGAACGTTCATCTGCACCTCCTGGCTTTCGCAGCGGAACGACCTGTGGTACCAAAGGTCGATCGACCGCCGCTTAGTCGAAATCTGTGAGCTCCATCGGCCCACGAACGAAAATCTCGCTGGAACGTCACTGCCGTTCGAATTCGCCGGGTCAAACGTAATAAAACTACGCTTCTAAAATTTTTGCAATCTAGTTTCTCAGTTTTGTGCGTCGTTCTGTCGTAGCGGTTCAAGGGTTCAACGTGCCCATGTCGTTTATCATATATGGTAGGCAATATCCCAGTGTGTTGAATTTACGTCGTTGGACTGGGTTGCACGTACGCACGCCGCACTCGCACACAGGCGCCGCGTCGCGTGTAGGTGGGCGCTGCCGCTCGGTTATTTCACCTAGCCTGCGTGTTTTCCGACGTCGACTACGATGATTAGTGTAGCGTACATTGTGAAGTGGCTCGAGCTAAAATTCAATTTCGCGGTTTGCGTGACGCATTGTTAGGTGGCGAAGCGCGGCCGCGGCGGCGAGTCCGGTCAGCTGATCGACGCGTGTGTCGGGCGGAGGGGCGCGGCGCGGCGGGGGGCGGGGCAGACGTGATGTGCACACGCATCGCATGCGCCGCTCGATGCATTCATAAACACATCAAGTACTTTAGTACTTATAGATTTGAAAAAAAATAAGTTTAATCTGGCACAAGGCGCAGTTGCGTAACGTGCGAGAGCTCGGCGGCGGCGGAGCGGCGGTCCTTAGCCGATGTTTTCATCGTGCGCTCAGCACAGCTCACTATCAAAGCAGATAGGCTCGCTAAATGGTCGCCGGCCGCCACGTATCTTTTCCTTGGAATATACCTACACTACGTTACATAAACAACAAACAACTCAACAACAGGATAAGAGATTCGAGAATATACTCCATCTTTGCCAGGTTCTTATTTACTTGTTTATATATTGTTTTGACTTATTTTGAAGACGACTGAAACTTGAATTAGATTGCAATATGAGTATATATTACGATAAAAGTTTAATGCACTAAGTAAAATGCACAGTAGGAACTTTAATATACTTATTGTAATTGATATTTTGAACAGATTTCATGTAGGCATAAGGTTTTTAACGATTACTACCTTGTTATGATAACTACAATTAAAAACAAGTTACGGTTGTTAAATCCTTAATTATGAAAAAAATGGCGACGCGATGTCGAGACATGTAATTTTTTGCAGTCAAAAGATCGTCTCATTTGGGTCTACGAAACACTAAAGCTTGTAGCATACTACAGCAAAAGCGAACCGAAAGCCAAGCTACATTTATTATGCGATTTTTATTTGGCGATTCTTAGTAGGAAAACTCTTTAGCAAACGGAAACCGTGTTTTTGCAGTGTTTTTGCTTCGTTTTTGTTTCAGAATAGTATAGTTTGCTTCGTAACGGTTTATACGCTTTTGCGTCTGTGTACTACAAGCTTAAAGGATAATACAGGCTTGCATTTACCAACAAAAGAACATGCGACGAAACAAAAGAAAAATAGGAACGCAGACTTCCATTTAGTGCCTAGACTTCCATTTTGGCTTTTATGACGTAAAACCCTCACGATTGCATACTAGACATTAACAGGTGGAATGTCGCGTTTATAGCTACTTTCTTGATATTAGACATCGACTATCTTGTCTACCAACTTGGTATTGTTATTCTTGTGTTTTGTAGTATGAAGAATACAAGATTTGTGATATATTTTATGAATGTAGAGTCGCGAAAATCAGCGTTGATCCATTTGCAGGGAAATTATCTCGTCCACAGCCGTCGCTTCGCCATTTTGGCGGATATTTCTAAATCATACTTCATACTAATATTATAAATGCGAAAGTATAGATGGATGTTTGTTAGAGTTTGTAGCCTAAACGTCTGAACGGATTTCGTTGAAATTTGGTAAAGATGTAGGGGATAGTCTGGAAGAACACAAGCTACCCACTTTTGTTTTTTTTTAATTCCGCGCGGAGTCGCGGGGGAAAGCTAGTTTAATCTAAAAAGTGTTCCAAGTTACATAAGCGTGACTTTAACTGTTAAAGGTCATTTGTATATAATTATATGTCACACCTCACACGTGCCTCGTACCCGAAGTATCGTCCGCAAAACAAGCGGGCGTAAACCTTTGTCAAAATTCAAATTCGATCAAAGACATCGACACTAGGAATTTAAACATTGTAACGGTACACGGACTAATGCATAGGCAAGAATAAGAAATATACGTATGTTAGTATTTCAAATCGTTTCCTCCTAGATATTAGCAAGTCAAGTCCGGTTGAACCTATGTGAACTAGGGCTGTCAACGTTTCAGATTTGTCATAGATTAAATCCGGATAAAATTGGTTTATATGAAGCGATAGAAAATTTTTTTGCTATCCGTTAAATCGACTATAAGGAAATAGGTTGTCTACTTATTTAGACGACTTTTCAGTTTAAAAGTTGACAGCCCTAGTGTAAACGCGGTGGACAAGATTTGTAAAAAATACATGTTTATTTCAACTTGAATACAAAGTCTATAGCGGTCATTGTACATGTTACCATTTTCTGCCGAATCACTAGGACAATGTATATATCTCTTTTATTTTTCTTAGAAAAACTGAGATGGCGATATGATTGTAACAGCAGACGAATAATTTTCTTATTCCCAAGTCTTTGACACTACAAAAATCTCAATCTCCAAATAAAAATAAATAATTGGACACCACGCGTTGTTGTAGGCATGCAATTGGAAAGGCGTACACGAATTTGAAATGAAAACTTTTGTTATGCCAAAAACCAATCAATAATGCAAAAATCTTACTGATCTTACTAATATTATAAATGCGAAAGTATAGATGGATATTTTTTAGAGTTTGTAGCCTAAACTTCTGAACGGATCTCGATGAAATTTGCCGTGGATGTAGAGGATAGTCTGGAAGAACACATAGGCTACTTCGTTTCTTAAATCCTACACGGACGGAGTCGCGAGCGAAACCTAGTTTTATATAAATTAAGTAAGCATTATCATTCTTTTTAGTGTTTACAAATAGCTAGTAACAACTACAAATTTAAATAGGACTGGACGATTTTTGTTTTGTCTCTGAATACGCAGTAACGTATAGTAACACATCAAAAAGGTGTGTATGTGTGCGTACTCTTGTTTGTGTGCAATTACATTAAATTTTACACATTGTATTTTTTACGGCCGTGAGATCATCTCTATTCAACCAAAAGATAAGCAAGTGTTGGCCGCATTTTGGCTGTAAGTTTTACAAAAATTCGAAGCAAAAATTAAATAAAATCAATAGTGAACTATGAAATAAATCTAAATTAAAAATAAATTTAAATGTATTTATTATTTATCTGTCTTTAAAACGTAACGTGATAAGAGTTTTATATATTTGCCGGTTTTAAATCGCAAAGAACAATAGTGTGCGCGTCGGAGCGGTCGGCTTGTTCGCACGCGTCCTCAGCTCGGAGGTGGCGGTCGTACGATCCCTTTCACCGTTCTGCTAGCCTGGTACTCGCGCGGCCTTACGCGGGCCTTGATTGCTGTGATGACGACGTGTATGGAGAGAGAACGGCTACGTACGTTTTTAAAACCACGTTAATATACGAAATACGATAAAACAGAATTATAGTTATTATTTATTTTTTTGGTATATGACATTTCTGGTGTAATCCAGTTTACGTAGAGTATGTAATATGAAAGATTTGTATTTTTATTTGTATTGAAATAACTTAAAAAGTACTGACCCGATTTTAAAAGTTCTTTCACTATTAGACAGGTTTTATCTGAGATTAACATAGGCTACATTTTTAATTTCATGCGTGCGAAGTCGCAAGCAACAGCTAGTAATTTGTAACTTTGATGTAGTATCATACAACTTTGCTAGCAATGGTCGCGGCCCGGACAAAGCCGGTTAGCTCGTCGCACAGTATGGCGGCTGATAAGTGTCATGTAAACACGATAACACCGCCTCAGTCGCTCGCAAGTCATACGCAATGCTTTTTATACACCCAACGGTATATTGCCCTAAGAACTTTATTGGACATCTCTCTCGGTTGCGAACATGTGCTTAGCTTTGTACTTGCAATTTATGAGCCCCTGGTATATCCTTAAAGCATTCTCGTCTTGGTGACTGGAATTTTCTGTTAAGTCGCTTTTAAGTTTGATAACGAAATATGGTGAAACCAGAGAAAGACGCTGTTTTCTGTTGATTTAGTTTGACTTAGACTTACTGCTTCTGTTAACTTGTCTGTCTATAATTTCTTCTGTTCATTTATTCTTTACCCTTTTGTTAATTTTAGAGTAATTATATTATACTGATTGTGTGGATTATAAATCACATGACAGATGACGTAGTAAGGTCTAGCTTCTAAGACAAACTCGTGACATTGAAGCCAAATCTATTGAACGAATAACGACTATTATTTTTGTATCTACATTGTTATGTTCGTTTCGATTGTTTCTTTGTACTTCTAGAACCAGTATAGAATCAAAATTCGTAATCTATACTTAGTTACGTAGGATCTCAGCAATTACAGCATGTTTTTGAAAGATTCTTTCTTTAATAAAAAGCCCTACACTTACGTCACGCTTTAGGCTATATATTTTCACGCCATTAAACTTAGGGGGTAAATATTTTGGATAAAAACCCTAATGTGGGAAAGAGACCATAAGTTGGTGGCAACATCAAGGAAGCAAGATGGCCATAAGGTAATTGGTATTTTGACATTTGCAATTGAGTATTTGACAAATGCATTCAATAAATTTATAATTTTATGCGGATGAAGCCGCACGCGAACAGCTAGTATAGATGTAAAGAAGCGAAGACCTCATGAGATTAAAGTCTAAAATAATCACAGAAGTTCTGTAGTAAAGTAATGAACGTTTGCGCCTTAGCGTCGAAACTGAAACGATATATTATCATTTGCTTTTGTAGCGTGTCTATAAATAAACCGTTCTTAATAATAGACTTTGACAATTGACCTGCGTTTTAAGCAGTGTCGTTACCCTAATAAAGCTAGCAAATTTGCAATAAAAAAATGTTTCATTTGGGAGCTATATACCATATCGATAAAAAACAGTACACAAAATATTCTATCCTTTTCCTTGCGGTGTACGTATTCTTCGCTACAAATCGTAGTTACCTTGTAGTTTACTTTATATTTTTTTTTTTTTACGTAATAGCTTTTACAACGTGTGATGTTAATACACGTGGATTTTCTACAGTTATTAGTCAGATTGGCAAACATAGTTATCTTAAAGAAGGTCAGAACTGTATTTACCCGTTAACGTATTTAACTATAATAGATTCAATCATATCGCATTCTGTGGAAGGTATTGGGAAAGGCAGATAAAGGCTGATGATGAAGTCGTCATCTTCATTTCTCTTCTCATCTCTATCAGATGTCAAATCTGAATTTACTCCAATTTTAAGCATATCCTTCACATAATTTTTATTTCGTCTGTCTTTTGCAGTCATCCATTCAATTTCATTATTTTCTTTATATGTGCTTTAACAAATCTCCACTTCATTCTTAAGATATAACTTCTGGCAACCAAACAGTAAGTAAGCAGTTAAACATATCTTAGTATACTTTTTACCACGTCTAGATAGAGATTTAACGATTTATATAGCAATATTTAAAAATACCAAATCTAAAACAGCACAGACATAATTAGAATAAAAAATGAAAAGTATTCAAAATCGTCGACGCCATTTGTAAAAAATACGGTAGACTAGTGATTCTGAAAGAGAAAGAATAATCTGAAATTGTATTGAGAAGGAGTAGGATAGATGTAATTTTGAGTGTTGCGCTTGTAATAATTGTTCGCTCATTTCAATAACATAAAGACTTATTGATATTTAAATGATTTCATATTACACACGCATGAGACTGTTGACCTTTGCCACTTTTACATTCTTAGAATAAATTGAATACTACCAAAAGGGTACATAAAGTTCAAAAGATTTTAACGAAATAGCAAATATGAGTAAACTATTTTAAATAATAATGTGTCATTTGCTTCCTCGAAGTATTATAGGGTCAATGGAATTTATTATTTTGTTATTACTATTGCTTGTTGTTTAGACTACTTGTGACGGTAAATGAAACTTTAAAATGTGAAATAATTTTGAAGTATGCACAAGTTTGCTAGGTTTGTGTGTTGAAAATACATGTCTGGTCGGTATTGGTGACAGGGGAACCTCCTGTAGCCTTCGGTTCTAGGGTCCAATTATTTCATTGTCAATTTTCTCCGTACTTTACATCTATCAGACTGGAAATTAAATTTTAATAAGCGTTTGAAGTTGTATTATAAAATTTTGTGAAACTAGTTTGAGGCGCAGGATAACTGATTTTAGGTATGTGGCCGTTTCAGAAATAGAATCTAGGCATGACGCTAGGTCGCAGCCGCATCGCAACCTGCTAAACCGGCAGGTGTGGTTACCCGGGGCGCATGAGGTGGGGGAGGTGTCCGGCGGCCGCGCTGCACGCTGCACCGCGCCAAGGTCAGCCGCCGCACGCATGCGTCGCCCCCTCCCCCCTACACCCCGCACCGTCGCACTCTCACCCGCCACCCTCTGTCGCCGGCGGCGGCACCCACTATACTTATGTGTTCCTGTTAGCCGTTCACCTAATACGCTCGCCCCCCTCTTCCATTTAGTGACTGGGAAATAGTCACAATGTAGAAATTGTAATCCTAAATTACATGTTTTATGATACAACTTTTGGCTTCAATCTAATTATATTAATGTTAACTTTCTAAAAAGCAGCAATTTTGTTTAGGGTACGTAATAATTAAGTTGATGTCGTTAATCGCATCCTACATTATGTAGGCCTTTAAATGTTCGATATGCGTAGATGTGTTCTTTCATGCTATTCCTCTTTGAGTTGTATAATTTTAAGGGCTCTGGTCAACGTATCTACCACGATGCAAATGTTATGAATTGTAGTTGTACGTAGATAACACGTGCCCGCCGAGCCACTGTTGCCGGCCGCCGCGCCGCCGCCGGGCTGCGTGGGCGCGCACTCTGTCACACGCACACACACGCAACAGAGAAATCAAACTATTGACTATTACTTCGTGTTTCGTGATGTGTTGGATTAAATTTCACTTCAGCCACTCAATGATCTTTAATAAGTAAAGCGAAATGTGTTGTTATCAGCTGTTTTTAAATGCAACCTTTGCAATGGCCTAGTTTTTGTATCGCACGGTCTGTGCTTGTGGCGAGTTGTGGGAAAGATCTTGGAGTGTTTTTTACAATAAAAAACTATTGTGCGTCGAAAACATAGTGGAGGTCAGGCGCACTTAGCCACACTCTATTAGAAAGCTAAACGGCGTCGCGAATAACACAAGGAGTGGTGCGTCGCGGTTGCCTCCTACGTCCGCACCGTTCGATTCGGTTGCAATGTTCCATTCACCTTATTCGCCGGCGTCGAGGTTCACTGACTCCGCCGGGCGACCGACTAACTAACTCCTCGGACACGTCACCGTGCTCGTGCCGCTGTTTCATCAGCCGCCACCGCTGTTAGCATTCTGCCGGCGTGCGGCCGTACAGCGGCGCGCCGCTGCGACCTCGTTTCGCGAGCGGCCGATCCGTGCAGCGTTATGTAAAGCGCTGAGGCGCACGGTGCAGCGGCGAGCGTTGCGCTCGGCCGCGTGTGCGCGACCCCCCGCCCCATCCCGCCGCGCCCCGCGCCACACGCCGCCACCCCGACACCCGCGCGCTTCGCCTTGCGATTTCGTCCGTCCGTCGGTTTCACTGGCGCGGGCCGAGGCGTAGGGGGGTTCCGGAGGTCGCGCGCCTCCCGCTTCCTCCGCCCTCCGAGACGGAGAACGGAGCGCTCGGTTCAGTCGTCGAGCGGAGTGCGTCGGCGCCGGTCGAGCTCCTGTTGCCTCGGCCTCTTTGCCATCGCTCGGTACGTGCGAGACGTGCGGCGCGGTCGGGTGTTGTTCGTGTGCCGCAGTTGTCGGGTGCGTTTGCGACGGCGGTGCGGTTTAGTGCCGGTGCCGGCCGCGGTCCGAAATAGCGTGCGTTATCATCGCGACCTCGGACGGCGAGACGAGATACCGCGAGGTCGGCGGCACCTGCGCCGCGCCGCGCCCCACGTGCGCGCCGCGCTGCAGCCGACAATTAGCAACTGTCTGCGGCCCTCTCCCGCCCCCGCGCGCCCTGCACCCCCGCCCCGCCTGCAGACACGCCGCCCTGCCCCCTCGTCTGGACTTTTGCACCAGCGGACGCGAATAAAATTTTTACATATCCAGCGGTGCACATTCCCCAGACCTAAACATATCTGTACTCTTTAGTAATTCTTTATTACGAAGCAATCGTACATATATCGCAATAGATAACCTCATCCTGAATGACACTATTAAGATATGTAATTGTCAGTATAGAAAAGTCGTAACGATTGGCGACACATTGCAAATAAAACGATTTCGCAATTAGCAGACCGCCTCATTACTGCGGGTTGCGTAATTCTTATAACAAAGATCATGAGTTTTGTTTATAGTTTTTTTTTCGTCAATTTTCTTTTGATACGGTTTTCCTTGTTATTTATTTTTATATTCTTGATTGGTAATAATCGAGGTATTTTAATCGCCTTAAATGATTTGACTCATAAAAACATGTGTAGTAAAACTTATCAACTAACAACAAAATATTTACTTCCTATATCTGAAATTAACTAAATCTACTTATTCCAAATTGTTTGTCCACATTGTTCAAGGTTCTAATGATTTTATCGTAATTATGTCTTTGTCTATCGAAACCAGTTTAAACCAGTTTTATTCTGTTTAATTTATTTTTTAATCTCATTAATGTTATAAATGCGAATTTTTTGGATAGATTAGCTAGCCTAAGCTGAACAGATCTCGATGAAATTTGGGACAGATGCGGGACATAGCCTAGAAGAACACTTAGGCTTCTTACTGTTTTTAATTATGCTCGTATGAAGTCATAGGCGACAACTAGTATGTAATAATTATTTTGTGTTATTTATTTCTCAATATTATTTTTTGATGGATTATATAATACAAGTATTTTACTTGTGATATACCAAAAAGAATCCTATTTAGGTTAGGTTAGGTTAGGCTTTTGTTCTTACGTAATACCTACATTTATAGAGAAATATCGTAAAAACTACGTAAGCGTTTAAAAATGTATAATAGACATGATTATTATAAAAAATATGTTAGTAATAATGTAATTTATAAAAAAGTTTCTACCTTTAAAATAATTAATTTTAAATCAAAAATGTAGGACAAAATAATTGTAGCTACACAAATGTATGTGTATGCAGAACTAACCTAAAATAACGCATAATTTGTTAACTTAGCAAATAACGACTATGTAACTAATAATATAATGCACAAAAAGTTTAATAATACGTCTATATTGTTAATTTACAACATAATATTATAAAGAGATTTATATTTTTTTATGTATGGAAACAACTCAAAAACTACTGTTCCGATGTTAAAAATTCCTTTACCATTAAAAAGCTACGTTTGCAGTAACATAAGCTATTTTTATTTCACGCGGACCAAGTCGCGAGCAACAGCTCGTTTATATTTTTAATTTTGTAATATCATACTTTCATACTAATATTATAAATGCGAAAGTTTAGATGGATGGATGTTTGTTAGTTTGTAGCCTAAACGGCTGAACGGATTTAGATGAAATTTTGTATAGATGTAGAGGATATTCGGGAAGAACATATAGGCTGCTCGCTTCTGTTTTTTTTTTATTCCACGCGGTCGGAGTCGCGGGCGAAAGCTAATAAGGTATAACGATAATTTTTGCGCAGTAATGAATTCCGCGAAACGCGTCTATCAAACGTCAAATTTTCATTAAATTAAACATTTTAAATGCTCTCAAAATCATTAAAATGCATAGTTATTGTCCACCACTTATTGTCGACTGTATTTATTGAAAATTTATTTATTCATTGTTTTAAATCTTTGGAAAACTCATTTTATGAGGACTATCTTGCTAGCGAAATTGTGCGCATGAAATTACAAAATACAGTTAAAATGTAGCCTATGTTACACACTGATAACGTAGCTTTTTAATGGTGCAAGAATTTTCGAATTCGGCCCAGTAGTTTTTGAGTTATTTCAATACATACAAAAATCTAAAAATACAAATTTTTCCTCTTTATATTAGTACTAGCTGTTGCTCTCGACTTCGCCCGCGTTAAATAAAAAAAAAAAAAAACTATAGCCTATGTCACTTAAAGATAAATTACCTTACAGATTTGAAAGATTTTTTAGAATCTGCACAGTAGTTTTTACGTGAGTCGAATACATACAAAAATACAAATCTTTCCTCTTTATAATATTTATAGATAGATAACGCAGTCATCATTGTGAATTATTTTTTTTATACTTTTACGTACAAGTTCACAACACCTGGACTTAATTGTCTTCTAGTAATTGTTAGAGTACTTTTACCTTTTTCCATATTAAATTACCCTAACTTAGAGGATCCGTTAATTCCTGACAAATAAGACTTGCGCAATACTGATGCGATATTGTGCAATGTATTGTCAGTTATGTGCCGTTCTACTTACAGTTGTCCGTCTCAAAACTGTTGTGTCTGCAAAATGATTACTGACAACGCACTCCAGATACCAAGACTACATAAAAATTGTTTAAATCAGAGATTTGAAACATTTTGCTCTGTTGATTCAAAATTTGACCGGTTTTAGTGAATTGCTGGTACATTTCTTCTTGAATTGTAAATCTTTTTTCCGCCATTTTGCACCCCGCAGAGGTTTTATAGACCCCAAGTGGTTTTGGACTTTGAGAATCACTAATACTAACGGTCAATAATATAGTTTGAGGACTTATCGACGATGTTTGTAGATAAATTGATAATCTATACTTATATTATTACGAGGAAAACTTTGTATAGGAAAACTACTAGGACGATTTTAAAAATTCTTTCACCATCAGAAAGGTAATTTATCTGTGAGTAACATAGGCTATATTTTATTATTACTAATGTTTAGGAACTATTAATAAACAGCGTGTTTCTGGACGCCGGCGTTAATTATTTCATAAAGGAATTATAATGTTCCTATATTGAAATTTTATAAGAACGCATACTAAATATATGAGCCAAATATTTATTGAAATAGTAAGCAGTTTTTGCTTAGAATTCAAGATGGCGTAACATTTTGCAAATTCTAGTTTTCCAAAGTAATATTAAAATATAAAATTATAATGCAAAGACGTCGTCATAAGATGTTAATATTTAACTACGATTTTTCTCTTTTATTAAACTTTATTGTTTTCTAAATTTAAATATGTCTTCTTTTTTTTTAATTCTCCACGTTTCACTACCACAATTTTTTTTTAATTTAGCAATCAGTCTTTAAAATCAATATCAATTTTCTAACAATAGATAGTTTAGTGAAATTATTATACGAAGATCTAATTCGCCCAAATGTGACTTAAATTTTGGTTTAGCAAAGTTCATTGTGCTCGAATCCATATTATGAACTTTACATTTTGGCTAGAATAAAAAAGTCTAGGTGACAAATCTATCGATTTTATATCTTGTAGTGAAGGCTACATAATGGTCACGGTATCTATTACGTGAATTACATAATAGTAGATATAAAAATATAGCGAGCGGTACACGTGCGCCCCTACCCCTCCCCCCTAGTAGCTACCCCTCATCACCCGCACTCGTCTTGTCGTTTACGTAACGCGTTTACGTTTCACCGAACGCGCCTCCATGTCTCCGTTCGTTATGATTGAACCCTAACTATGTACCCTATGTTTTCCTGGTACAGCCCTTTGATTTTTTCTGCTTGTAGGGGAAAAATAAAAAATCCTTTCTTAAAATCCTCAATAACTTTGTCCTCTTTATATGTGGCGAACACAGTAATGATATTTCATTGTTTACTTTACTAGTTTTCGCCCGCGACTCCGTCCGCGTGGAATTAAAAGAAGTGTGTAGTCTATGTGTTCTTCCAGAGTATCCTCTACGTCTATGCCAAATTTCTCTAACAAACATCCATGCATCTAAACTGTAGCATTTATGATATTAGTAAGATAGTAAGAAGTAATATTAGACCCCAAGTAATACAGAATTTAGATAGTTGGATCACTTTTGATACAGAAAGTACAGAAACTCGACTAAATAGGAATTAATAGGAGGATTTCATGCCTTTCAAAGTATAACTAGTATTTGTAACTGCAGTGGACGTTGCGTACTAAACGCTTTCTAGAATGTTCCCAAGCGAGAAGTGTTTCACATTGTACGATGTACTGGTACGCTATTGTTTGGTGCACTGGACCCAGCACGTGTACAATCTAATATTCAAACAAGCGAGCACGATAACGTTCCGTCCGAACTCGTCGACCTACACCTGTTTAGTATTCGATTTTTTTTCTCGTTATTTAAACGCCTCTATGAAGTTGATCTTGGCTCTCATTCAGCCCTGGTGCGTCACAATGACGGCTAAAGTTAGCGTCGCACAATATACGTTCACTATAAAAAGAACTCATGAAATCCATTTTATTATTGATTTTTTTTTATATCATATGGTTGCAAACAAAAAAACGGAGGAGGATACGCCACATAAAGAAGACATTTCACCTTCCTATGCGTCTCTTGCACCGTCAAATCCACCTTCCCTTTCCATCCTCTTATAAGAAAAAGAGTGGGAAGGAAAAGGGACTACAGTTGGGCTTCCGACACCACACACAATAGACGAAACGCGTGATTGCTCACACTTGACGTCTGTCTTCTGTGTGGTCGTGGTTGCACCGAGCAAGCCGACCCATGCGTGCGAAGATGTTAAAGCGGGCTCTAACACTGTTAACCAAACATCATTGTAGGTATCATGTTCTTTGATGGTTGTGTAGCAGTTTAATCGTAAGTACTAAGGCATCATGAGGCATTAGGTTTAACAGTAGCTTGGGGCGGGAAGGGTTGGGGGGAAAATGCACGTGTCAGTGTTGCCAACGTCGTGCATGGCATTCGTCCCCTCTCCGCACTTGTTGCTCGCTGCGTTGTAGCGCTGCTACCGGTGTCGCCGGCCTTCGCACACAATCTTCTGTCCTCCTTGGATTATGCTCACTCTTTCGCGAATATTTTCGCATTTTAACTGCGGGAAAACTGATTCATTGATGTCAAATAGTTTTGTAATATATGCACAATTAGTAACTTACAAATGTTGCAGAGATTTGTTGTACAATCTTGTAAACACACGGATTGTATCCAAAGACATTTAAAAATGTACAGACACGGCATAGTGAACAACATTTTTTAACCGGTACCTTCTCCGAAAGGTACTATATTATTTTTCAAGTTTAGTGTCACATCGTTACCGTATATTGACATATAATAAAACATTGTACAAAATTATAATACCATTTTTTGGTATAGAATAAACTAAACAGGATAATAAAATAAAATGTAAATATTTAAATATGTTATTTAAATACCTATAGGCTAATTTAAATGCAATTAACGGGTTTGAGGATCTCAGTAAAATGTCAACTATGCCTAGTCTATATATGTTTTTAATTTCTTTGTATCACACTAGAACAAAACAAGGTTTGGACATAAAATGTTATTATAACCACGAATATTACGCAAATGGAGTACATTATTTACAAGAAATATGGAGTTACCAAATTCAATTACGAACTTAGTTATAGAAATACGTCAATGAATCCGTACGCAATGCGCCCGTTTGGTCTCCCAATTTCACATTTCATCCGATTTCCCAACAACTCTTACGTCGCTAAACGTTTCCATCGCAAACGCACCCGCTTATTGTGTAAAATTTGTAATTCCAGGAACGGAATGAGTGATTGTGTATAAATAAACGTTTGATAAGTGATTATATTAAGAACTGTGCAAACATGACTAAGACGTATTTCGTTGTGAGGAATTATGAGGGAAGTTGTTTGTGAAGTCGTACCATAGAATGGGTATACTCATGGAAGCCACTAAAGGGAATTTGGTCACTGCCAGATATCGAGGAAGTGGTGCAGAGTCGGAATATTTCACGATGGGAACACCCCGGAAGCCTTTCTATGCGGACACATTGCATACAATCGCTATTAATACCAGGGAGACAGAATTCGGAAGTATCGTTGAGCCGATACCGATAACGCTCAAGACTTACAAGCCGTACCAACCCCAGGGTTATGGGTACCCGCAGCAGGTGGCATCGCCCGCGGCTCCTGTTGTCCGGGTACCTGAGACCGATAGGCCTTCCCCGGTGAAAAGCGAAAAAAGTCCTGTTAAGGAATCTAAGGATGATATAGTCGCTAGGCCTCCTCCTAAAAAGAAATGGATCAAAGAGTACCTAGGTGAGTTTTAGTACTAAGATTTTTCTGGAAATTGTTCTATAAAACAATATTGTTTTTTTTTTCGTATTAGGATAATTTTGTTCTGCTTAATGCTTAACCTTTGTAAGTCTCCGTTCGGGTTGTTTACTTGATAAAAACCTTGATATAACGAATCAATAATATGACAGACTTCGATAGCCCACGTACGTAGTTACCGTAGCAACATGAGGAGATAAGTATTAGGTCTGTAGCACATAGACAAACTGTTTCTTAAGCGAAGTTAAAGCTATATTTTTATGGAGTTTTGTTCCAGCAGTATTCAATAGCAGTTATTATATCCGCTTTCACTATGTGCTACAGGGTTTAGAGCACCATTTCTACCTTTTACATATTATTTTTCCTGTTTCCGAGATAATTTGTATTATTTGGCTTCCGGTGCGTGGGCATAAAGGATCTCGTTTGTATAGTAATTTTCTTCAATTTGTCTTATTGATTCTATTTGCGCTACAAGATGAAATTATAAGATTTGAGGTACGCGGAACATCAATTACTTTGTCTTTTTAACATGAATACTTATTCCTTAGTAGATACCAAATATACATCTGTAGTTATATCTTCTTAATAATATTATAAATGCGAAAGTTTATATAGATGGATGGATAGATGTTTGTTAGAGTTTGTAGCCTAAACGGTTAAACGGATCTTGATGAAATTTGGCATAAACGTAGAGGAAAGTCTGGAAGAATATATAGGCTACTCACTTTTGTTGTTTTTAATTTCATGCGGACGGAGTCGCGGGCGAAAGCTAGTTTATTAATAATTATTGCACTTTTGTTCCGTCTTAACCGACAACGCTTGCGTCAAGGTGTACCTCTCCTGAAGGTCAATGTCTGCACGCCTAGTACCCAGGACACGCCCAGTTCGATCACAGTATGATAAAAAAAAAACAATTACTAGGACATCGAGTGAAACATAACATCCTGTATAATACAACCATGACCTAAGTGGCAGTCGACTTATCATGGTGACAGGATAACATGTAGTGTATAGACGTGACAGGTTTAGTAAAATTCTGAAAACAATTTTACTCTACTAGATTTAGTAACAATTTATCGAAATATAAGTTACTAGCTTTCGTCCGCGACTCCGCCCGCAAGAAATTTAAAATAATATAGAATATAGCCTATGGTACACACAGATAAATTACCTTTGTAATGATGAAAGAATTTTTAATACCGGTCCAATCGTTACATAGACAACAAAAAAAAACAAAAGTAAGTAGCCTACGTGTTCTTCCAGACTATCCTCTACATTTATGCCGAATTTCATCGAGATCTGTCCAGCAGTTTATGCTACAATCTCTTACAAACATCCATCCATTTTCGCATTTATAATATTAGTATGAAGTATGACTAGGTACAACTATTAACTTCTCCCACAAAAGACTGACAGAAAACATCTTTGAATTACACAAAAAGATACATCAAGTAAAACGTAATCTCTTAAATTTCTCAATTACGTAACTTCCGTATTAGATTTTCTTTACAATTGTCACTAACATTGGTCGATTTCATATTTGCGATTCCGGCCCTGCCTTGACCTGTACAACAAAACAGCGGTAATCTCATAAACTAGGCGACTTACTAGTAGTGTGTAGTAATTTTGCATTGACAAGTTACGTAACAACGGCCATATTTATTGGATTAAAAGCAACGTTGTACGAATGTCGGGTTTAATTACCGAGTTTAATATTAGTTAAGATTTTAGCCGAAACAGTTGTTGATAAAATGCTTTATGAAAAAAAAACACAGATGAATTGAGTACCTTCTTTTGGGAATCCGGTCAAAAAATAACTAACGACAAAAAATAGGATCTAGGAAGGCAAAATCTTTAAAAATTAAACCGACGCCTGATTCTATTTTCAAAGATAATACCATAAATGTGAAAGTTTAGATGTATGGATGGATGTTTGTTAGAGTTTGTAGCCTAAACGGCTGAACGGATTTTAATGAAATTTCGCATAGATGTAGAGGATAGTCTGAAGGAACACATAGGCTATTCACTTTTGTTTTTTTCTAAAGCTAGTATTTCTATAAGTGTCACATTTTTAGGATAATAAAAGGCAATGTAAACACACCCTTAAATTGAAATATACAACGGAAATGTATACATGACCTCGAGGAATGAAGTTGTTTGTGAAACGTCTCGACGGAAGAGCAGAAACAAGATTTCCTATAACGACTGCATTTATGATAGACGACCTAGTTTGAGACCTAACTTAGAAAGATGACAAAAGCAGGATTCAAATAGCTTCTACTATTAAATAGCATTATAAAAAAGCAAACATTAACAGCCGGAAGTAGAAATTGAATATGAAAAATGCTTCGGGAAAGAAAAAACAAGTGCACATTTCTTACAATATTACTTCTAAGTGATCTAATTGGTTTTATCGCTAGACAACTTAAACCTATCTACTTTACTTGGTTTCCTGATAATATTATATATGACACTAGCTGTTCCCATGCGGCTTCACCCGCATGAATTTGTGAAAATTTTATTTTACTGTTTACATTTGTCAAATTATCAATAGCAAATGTCAAAATTACAATGACAAACCTAGACAGTCTTGCTTCTTGATGTTGGCAGCAACTTATGGTCTCTTTCCCACATTAGAGTTTTTATCCTAAATATTTACCACCTAAGTTTAATGGCGTGAAAATATATAGCCTAAAGCGTGACGTAAGTGTAGGGCTTTTTATTAAAAAAAGATTTTCAAAAATATGCTGTAATTGCTGACATCTTAGGCAACAAAGTATTGTGTGTTTACGCTTTATTATAAAAGTATAGAAGTATAGATATAGATTAATATTAGGAGCACATAAGAGAATGGTGTCTATACACCAAACATACTTGTAACATTATTCGCTTTACCTTCAATCCTAGCACGTTTGTTTTTAGGTGTACCTTCAAGGTCTGTATTGTTTAGTACTTGCGTTGCGATAAGTTCGTGACAAGGCACCGTTAGTCAGGCGGCGTTAGACCACGGCCTGCGTGTCGAATGTTTGATCTGATTGTTTTTAATGCGGTCCGCAATTTAAAAAAATCGTAATAAAATCCTCTCTGAATCTAAGCAGATGTCCGTTTTACGAAATAACGATTAGTGTATGACCATTGAGTATTTGTCATTAAGTAAATGTAAAGAATTTATTAGATAATACTGTTGTGTGCAAATGACTGGCATTCCACAACCGTGCGGTTTTCGCGGAACTTCCTGCCCCGCACAGCCGCGTTGTGGAACGGTCTGTCCTCGGCGGTATTTCCAAACCAATACGACTTAGGGTCCTTCAAGAAGCGAGCCTATCATTTCCTCAAAGGCCGGCAACGCATCTGTAGTTCCTCTGGTGTTACGAATGTCCATGGGCGTCGTTGACCACCTTGGTGTTCACGCCGCTCGTTTGCCCCCTTTTTTTTATAAAAAAAAAAAAAAAAAAATGACAATTATTTTTGGCATCACTAATGCGGACGGAGCGAGATAAATATGTTTATCAACTTTCGCTCTATTAAACAAAGATAAAAAATATTTTTATAATACGATTGTATAAGAGGTCATTACCAGGAGCGCAGACGTCATATCGGCGGTGGTCTTACACGTGGTCGAGCCATTTATTATCTGTTGAGATAAAATAGTATCGTAATAAAGATTGGCGTGTCTATGTGTGCTGTAGACAGCCGTCGCGATTGCCCGTCGCTTATAGTCCGAACAACGTATCTGACCCGATAGGAATAAGAGACAATAAATTATATTAGCCTAATAGCGAACTTCTAACAATGAAGTGTCACAAGATTGTAGCTGTCTTTTGTTGGTTATTTAATATGCCAAAGTATTACACTTATTCTAATAGAAATAATTGCAAAAGAACGCCTCTTACTGGACCAAATGAGTTTGTCGTAGTCGTACTATAAGCGTGGTGTAGACGGCCGTCGCCTACTCCGCAAGGTTGATATCGCATTGGTACTGACATTTTTGACACACAGTCACAAAACACCGCTTAGTTACTCAAATAACGTAAACAAATCTAAAATGTTTATTTTATAATGCTTTACTTTATCCAGTCTCGTTGTGTTTTTAAAAACAACTGTTATAAATATTTTATTTTTGCAAAACACTCACTCTGTGATGACAAGTTATTGACAACTTCAAACCGTCTTTATAAAGGGTGGACTGGGGTGGACAGACTTGTTTTACCAAAGAGGTTTTACTTTTTTAAAACAAGAAGGTAATAAGCGAGAAATAAATAAAGAACATATTAGCATTTTGTGTCAACCAGTTTATTTTAATAAAATACTACCTGTTCCCGTGCAATTTGATCAGGATAAAATTATTTTATTGTTTAAATGTGTCAAAATGTCAATTACCAATGTCAAAATGACATGACAAAGCTTGGCAATTTTGCTTCCTTAATGTTGGCAGCAACTTATGGTCTCTTCCCCACATTAGGGTTTTTATACAAAATATTTACCCCCTAAGTTTAATGGCGGGAAAATATATAGCCTAAAGTGTGACGTAAGTGTAGGGTTTTTTATTAAGAAAAGAATTATTCAAAAATATGCTATAATTGCTGATATCTTAGGCAACAAAGAAGTGTGTGTTTACGCTTTATTATAATAGTATAGAAAACTATAAAATAGCCTTGAGCTCTTGCATTTTTTGAATATACATTTTTCATAACGTGCAAAGATGGTGTACAATTTACGACTTGATGGCCAGAAGTACCACTCTTTTGGTGCTAGATAAGATTGGCGACTCTCATGATGACTTCGAACCAAGGTTTCAGCAGATCAAAGTAAAAAATAAGTATCTACTTTTTGTAACATTTGTAAAGCGTTTTTAATTTTTTTTTATCTTGTATTATTTTATTTTTAACTGAAGGTTGCAGTTTCTCGCATATAATTTAATCTCGTATAATTTCAGTTTAAATTGGAATTTTATTAAATGATGTTATGGTACTAGTGAGTTGTGA